CTAGTTTCTCAGCATCACCCCTGGACAGGATATTTCTAATTTTTGCAATGTTCCTCAGATGAAAGAAGGAAATTCTAGAAACCTCTTTGATATGGGATTTAAATGACAGGTCCTGATCAAAAATAACACCAAGATTTTTTACTTTATTATTTGAAATCAGTTTAATCCCATCCAAATGAAGTGACTGGCTAATCAGTTTCTTTTTCAGAGACTCTGGTCCAAAGACTATAACTTCTGTTTTGTCTGCATTCAGAAGCAGAAAATTAAGAGTCATCCAGGTTTTTATGTCTTCAAGACATGCCTGTAATCTATGTAATGGGTTAGCTTCATCTGGATTTATAGACAGATATAGCTGGGTATCATCAGCATAACAGTGGAAATTAATCCCATGCTGTCTAATAATTCTACCAATTGGGAGCATGTATAAAGTAAAGAGAATTGGTCCTAGCACTGATCCCTGTGGTACTCCACAGGTAACCTTTGAGCGTGTTGAAGATCTATCATTAACATGAACAAACTGAATTCGATCAGATAGATAAGATTTAAACCAGTCTAGTGCTGTTCCTTTAATTCCAACAAAATATTCAAGTCTTTCTAAAAGAATATTATGGTCAACTGTATCAAATGCAGCACTAAGATCCAACAGGACGAGCACAGATACAAGTCCATTATCTGAGGCCATGAGAATATCATTAGTGACTTTCACCAGAGCTGTTTCAGTGCTATGATGAGCTCTAAAGCCAGACTGAAACTCTTCAAAAAGTTCATTATGGTGGAAGTGATCGCAAACTTGTTTGGCAACTACTTTCTCAAGAATTTTGGATAAGAAAGGAAGATTGGATATAGGTCTATAATTGACCAAGTCATCTGGGTCAAGAGACGGTTTCTTAAGCAGAGGTTTAATTACAGCAATCTTAAAAGCTTTAGGTACATATCCCTGTAACAGAGATAGATTAATCACATCTAAAATGGAGGAGGAGATCAAAGGGAATACCTCCTTAAATAACCTGGTTGGAACTGGATCTAACATACAAGTTGAAGGCTTAGATGAAGACAATAATTTTGCTAATTCAGAGAGTTCAACTGGATCAAAGCAGTCTAAACCCGGTTCAGATTCCATGACTACCTCAGGTACAATCGCGGATAGAGGAGTGCTTATGATCTTATTTTTAATAAGATCAATCTTATTTATAAAGAATCCCATAAAATCATTGCTGCTAAGAGCAGGTGGAATGGACGGTTCAACAGAGCTATGGCTCTGGGTGAGTTTGGCAACTGTATTAAAAAGAAATCTAGGATTATTCTTATTCTCCTCTATTAATGAGGAGAAGTATGCTGCTCTTGCTTTACAAAGGGTCCTCTTATACAGCAGTAAACCATTTTTCCAGACTAGGAAGGACTCTCGCAGGCCTGTGGAGCGATATTTTCTCTCCAGTTTCCTAGCATTTTGCTTAAAAGTACGCAGCTCTGCATTAAACCAAGGAGCAAGCTTTCTATTTTTAACGGTTTTCATTTTCAAAGGAGCTGCGTTGTCTAAGGCAATACGCAGAGAACTAGCAACCCCCTCAACAAAATCATCAACCTGTGAAGGGGAATAAGCTAAGCTTTTGCACTCTGCAGCACTGCTCAGTGACACAGAGCAGAGAGAAAGTGAAGCAGATTCTTTAAAATTTATAACTGCACTATCTGATAAAGATCTACTAAAATTGAACCTTCTTTTGGGGGAGGAGAACTCTGTTAAAGTAATCCTGAAGGTTATTAGAAAGTGGTCAGAGAGGACAGGGTTGTGAGGAAATACTGTTATTTCTTCACATTCTATGCCGTATGTCAGCACAAGATCCAAAGTATGAAGATGAGAATGCGTGGGACTATTCACATTTTGAACAAAGCCAATAGTGTCTAAGATAGCATTAAAGGCTGCTCTTAAGCTATCGCCTTCAATGTCAGCATGGATGTTAAAATCTCCCACTATGATGACCCTGTCAGTATTTAATACCAAATCAGAAAGGAACTCTGAAAACTCATCTAAAAATTCAGAGTAAGGACCTGGTGGACGATACAAAGTTACAAAAAGAAGAGGTTTTCTTGCCTTGAAATTTGGATCAGGGAAATTAAGGGTTAAATGTTCAAAAGAGTTGTAGGAATTAATTGTTTTGGGAGTAATCAGTAAGTCAGACTCGAAGATTGTTGCTACTCCTCCTCCTCGCCCAGAACTTCTGGGGATGTGAAAATTTAAATAGCTTGAAGGAGTTGCCTCATTTATGCTCACATAATCCTCTTGCTGCAGCCAGGTTTCTGTAAGGCAAAACAAGTCAATGTGATTATCACAAATCAAGTCATTAACTAGTAGACTTTTAGAGGAAAGCGATCTTATGTTAAACAGACCGCATTTAATTGTTTTAACTTTTTCCCCAATTGGAGTTATTTTGATTTTAATTAGATTATCATGATTTACTCCTTTGGGAATCTTTGCTAATTTATTAGATTTTGGTCGTGGGCAAGACACTGTCTGGATGGAGTAAAGAGTGGGTAACAGTAGAGAAGCTGCAGAGATGTGTGTTAAACTACAACTCTGCTTCCTGGTCTGCACCCTGGGTGGTCAGGGTTTTGGAGGACTAATAAATGTGGCCAGATTCCTAGAAAGAAGAGCTGCACCATCCAAAGTGGGATGGATGCCGTCTCTCCGAATCAGACCAGGCTTTCCCCAAAAGGATTGCCAATTATTAATGTAGCCCACGTTGTTTTCAGGGCACCACCTAGACAACCAGCGATTGAATGACGACATGCGGCTAAACATGTCATCACTGGTCAGATCAGGGAGGGGACCAGAGAAAATATCTTTATCTATATCCTTTATTCAGTGCAAAAGAAAACTGCAGTAAATTCGCTAGTTTTGGTCAGAAAAAAATCACAATTGAGCTTTTTAATTTATTTATTTTTGGTGAAATCGCACAGCCCTATTATGATCATTAGTTTTTAAGTAATTGGATTTAGTTATAAACTAATACTCAACTGTTCCTCAATAAAACTATTCCAATGCAGCTCTGCCTTTACGCTTCTTTCATTATCTCGCTCCACTAGGGATGGGAATCGAAAACCGGTTCCTGTTCAGAACCGGTTCCATATTATCCGATTCCATGGCATCGTTTGGCAGCTCGCTGAATGATTCTTTTTGCGATTCCCGCAGCACCAGAGCCTAGAGCGCCGGCTCTGGGGAGCACGACTTACGTCACGTTTTTTACGCAAGTTACGCAAGTTACGCAATTTGGAAGAACTATTCGAGGAGGAAGACAACGAGCTGCGGTCACTTTGTGAATCAAAGCCCCGTCTTTCCTTAGCCCAGAGGGTGGATCAGGAAATCCACCTCTATAAAAGCTTGCCCTCCATCCCCTGCAGGGATAGCGCCACACTGTGGTGGTGGAACAAGCAAGATACGCTGCCCTTGCTATCTGGACTGGCTGAAAACTACCTCTGTGTGCAGGCTTCCTCCACCCCATCTGAGAGGGTGTTCTCCACGGCTGGAGATGCCTTAAGCGCTGAAAGATCCTGTATCCTTCCAGATGAAGCAGATATGCTCATCTTTCTGCAAAAGAACTGTTAATTTTCCGGCTACTACTGTTTTATAATTAGTATTTTTTGTTATTTAAAATAGGTTATTATCCCATCATTTGTTATTAGACATTGTTGGTTATTAAGTTTGTTCTTTTATTCATTTTTCCTTTAAACACAGATGTTACTCCAGTTTCACATTTCCTGTGGACATCTTGATCTTGTTGAGTTTGTAAGATTGTGCAATAGTTAAGTAAACAAAGTTGATGCTGATAATCAAACTGTTTGTTCTCCTTTTTCCCCCAAATTGGAATCGAAAAAAGAATCGATAAAGAATCGAATCGTTTCATAGAATCGAAAAGGGAATCGGAATCGTGAAAATCTTTTCAATTCCCAACCCTACGCTCCACTCATCTTCCCATTTACTCTGACCTGCTTCATGTCTGAGGTGAAGAAAAGCATTTCTACAGCCTGATGCTGATATTTGCTATGAGGGTGATGTCTTCTGGGTAATATGCTGTGTTTACCACAACACAGAGTAGTTTATATGTTGGTCATAAAGTTCAATTTAAGTCTTAGATCTCCTTCTCATATATCTTTCTATATGTTGAGTAATGGAGACATTAACGAGAAAGCTGCTGAGGTCCCCAATGGCTTCTCTCATTCACTTCAATCATTGCTTCAGTAATCAGCAATGTAGTTATTCAGTAAATGGAATTTTCTATTAAATGTTATGAAATTTAAATATTTGGAAAATCTGTACCAATCCATTTCTTTGCCTTCAGTTGCTTAGAGTGAAATCAGTTCATCACTTTTTGTTCTTAGATGTCTCTTCATTAATGATAACCTAGCTCACTGTGTACTGCAATATCACCAGCTGCAAACATTTAGTGTCTTTTTATTATTGGTTGTGAAATATGATTGTATTAAATTGCGTAAATTTCGCTGCCCTTTAAAGCAAGGTGCCTACCCTGAGGGGTTGATTGAAATAAGAGCTAGTTTTTAGAAGAAATGTATATCATTTGTCATTTGTTATCATCAAATTTAAATGATAGAAAACGATTAAACAGTTTTGTCAGGAAGAAATTGGAAACTGATTTTTAATACTTTAATACATATTTTTTATACTTTCCAGCCCTACCTAAACTTTCCATGAACAGAAAAACGGCTTTTTTATTCTTTACCGGAAATATCAAAAATACATTCAGCCACTTGAAGTATTTCTGATTTAAAAATAAACTCGACCAACTGGGAACTCTAAAATGTTAAGGCAGGATCCTCCAACATTTATATTATGAACGTGTTGGAACTTGGTAACTTATCTAATATGACTTGCTGATTTTTTGCATTTAGTTACAGTAGTTTGTTTCCAACTTATAGGCGCTGTATTGAATGTTAGTTTGTGTTTAATCAGTTAATAATTGTTTTTTAATGTTCTTCTTTCTCCCCAGCCAACTTGACAGGCCATATTGAGAGGGTTGGTATCGAAAACTTCGAGCTACTAAAGGTGCTGGGCACAGGAGGTGAGTAGAACTGCCTCAAAGTCACACAGAAATCAACTCTAAAGCAGCAGACTCTTCTTTTTGATTCACACTAATTAATGAAGGCTCTGTGGAGCTTCTTGAATAATTGATTTTAAAGTTTTCCTTGACACAGAATCAAAGAAACCAAATGATCTGTTTCTATGGCTGCAAGGACAACAACACCAGCACTCCTTGTTTATAAAGATGTTGATTTTGCTCCTTTATTAAGGCGGCAATTCTGTCCCGCCTTTTGCTGAATGTTTAAAAAGGGCATCTTACTGCAGCACGAAAAGGACAGGCAGTAAATATTTACCTTATAAATCCTGCAAATGATACTTTTCCTAAGAATAGGTGGGTCATAGAAACCATTTCTGCTATGCCTTTGACCTGAACTTTGCCCTATTTTTTTAATTTCTCCACCAGCATACGGGAAGGTGTTCTTGGTTAGAAAAGTGAGCGGCCACGATGCCGGGAAGCTGTACGCCATGAAGGTTTTAAAGAAAGCCACCATTGTGCAGAAAGCAAAGACGGCTGAACACACACGAACGGAGCGGCAAGTGCTGGAGCACATCCGCCAGTCTCCCTTCCTCGTCACGCTCCACTATGCCTTTCAGACTGACACCAAGCTGCACCTCATTCTTGGTTAGGACACGTGAGGCTGAACTGTCTGTAAAGTCCTGTTTATTTTCTGTCTGGTTTCATGTAAATAACATACGCTTTCTCATATCATAGATTATGTAAACGGGGGGGAACTTTTCACACACTTGGTGCAAAGGGTGCGATTTAAGGAGCAAGAAGTAGCCTTGTACAGCGGGGAAATTGTCCTGGCGCTAGAGCATCTACATAAGGTATCCTCTGCTTTTTAATCTAAAAAGAAATATCCCGCTGCCGTCTGTTTAACCTGTGCTTTTCTGTTGCCTTCTTGCAGCTGGGTATTGTCTATCGGGATCTAAAGCTGGAGAATATTCTACTGGATTCAAATGGTCACATTGTTCTCACAGATTTTGGCCTCAGTAAGGAATTTGATCAGGTATGGTTCATCTTCACAATGTTCACATTTATTATTTGACCAGATGGATACCAAGTTTTTGTTCCTACTACAAATACCTGAAGGACATGATTTCTATGGCAATGTAACAAATAATTGCTTTAAAGGAATAGTACACCCAAAACATGATTAGCCTTCATTTTCTACTCACCCCCATGCTGAACAACACTCTGGAGTACTTTTTTGATATCTCAAATGCATCTGGAGATCTGGGAGGCTTCTTGCTGTCTGCTGACATTCAAATAATGGAGGTCTATGGCGCCCGAGGCAGAAAGGTCCATAAAAGTCCACAAAAAACGTGTCAATATTCCTCCATACTGCTCGTCCAATGTATTCCAAGTGTCTTGAGTGGGTAGCGTCCAGAATTTACTCGAAACGAAGTCATTTAGAATGTTTTTAGAGCATAAACAGTAGTGTATAGGATTTCCTGAAAGCGCGCGCCGGCGCGTTCATGACGCTACGGAAGCCGGCAGACCAAACCAGATGAAAGTGCGCATTCAGCGTCTGCTCTGTCGATAATGCAAGCGTAGAAGAAGAAATGTGCTGTTTACCTGTGCAAAGAAAGAAACAACGAAAGAAAAATGTCTGAGGACTTCAGTGTTGAGGAAGAGCATGAGTTCTTTGCCGAGCTGAATGCGCTGGTTTGGTCTGCCGGCTTCCGTAGCGTCGTGATCGCGCAGGCGCGCGCTTTCAGGAAATCCTATACACTACTGTTTATGCTCTAAAAACATTCTAAATGACTTTGTTTCGAGTAAATTCTTGGTGCTACCCACTCAGGACACTTGGAATACATTGGACGAGCAGTATGGAGGAATATTGACACGTTTTTTGTGGACTTTTATGGACCTTTCTGTCTCGGACGCCATAGACCTCCATCATTTGAATGTCAGCAGACAGCAAGAAGCCTCCCAGATCTCCAGATGCATTTGAGATATCAAAAAAGTACTCCAGAGTGTTGTTCAGCATGGGGGTGAGTAGAAAATGAAGGCTAATCATGTTTTGGGTGTACTATTCCTTTAAGTGGAAAGGTGTCAAAGGTTATTAGTTCTCCATCTTTCTATCTTTAGCTATTATATATGTTTTCATTCTTGCTTACCGGGGAAAGTTTCCATCTGAGAGCCAATCTGGCTCATAACGTGTCAATGTGTCGAATTCTGCTGTTTGTACGGGGCAGGGCCTGAAGCACAGATAAGTAGTCAGAGAGTTATTGCTTTGCATTTGGAAAAAAGGCCGACATTTTTGCGTGTTTTGCAGCAAGTAGCAACACCTTTTCTGTTCTCTAATGGTAGGAGTGTGTTCACCCGTGTGTATTCATGTCCGGGTTGAATTCCTCTGTGAGAAATAAAGAAAACACATACACACACGCGGACAAAATTCTAGGCACCTCTAGTTGAATGAAAGGAAAAGCCGCAATGGTCACAGACATAACTCGAATCTGACAAAAGTAATAATAGAAAACAATTCTATGAAAATGAACAAATGAAATTTAGACATTGCTTTTCAACCATGCTTCAACTAAAAGAGATGTTTAAGGAGATTAGAAAGATAAGTATTAGGCATGCACCGAAAATTAATTCTCAAAAAATGAGGAAATCAAGATCAAAAACCTTAAATACAGAGAGAAATAATTATGTCAAAAAGAACCACAGCATTATTGGCTACGATTTGTACTAAACTCTAACTAAAATCAAGGCATTTCAATAAATCAATTATAAATGTATCAAAATGTTTATATACCACTGCCATTTTTATTCTCGGCAGAGTCACTGGAAAACGTTCTTGCCTTTTCAAACATGTCCTCCACAGACGGAGCGGACACATTTGCTGTCAGTTTCCCCTTTACCATGTCGCATTCTTCTCATATTCAGAATGGTGATGGGGAAGTTTGGATTTCTATGGCATCATTTTTGGGCCACTGACCTGAGCACAGTGAGAATGATATACAGTGTTTAAAAATTCAGTCCTTTCCTTCACATGCTCAACAACTTTTCTGCATGCAGGAAAGTTGCTGCTGTTTGGTTGAGATCCCTTTAACCTCTACTGGATGTGCTGGTTGTCACCTCATCGCAAGTTTTGGCCGTGTTGTTTCGGCATTAAATGTCTATTAGACAAAAAAAAATTTACTTTTCAGACATTTTTAACTGAAAATGTTCTATGGCTGAATTTTCGGTTCATCCCTAACAACTATGTTAAAGACTATAAGATTGTCTTTGAGCAGCTTGATTTTCCCGTGACTACAGCTGCACGTATCATTTAGAAATGTATGAGCCATGCACTGTAGCCAACCTCCCTGGATGTAGCTGCAGGAGGAAAAACTGATGATAAATCGGAAACATGATGATATAAATGTTAACAAAAAAGCCCCAACAAAAATTGGAAAGAGATTAAAGGTCAACTTCAAGCTCAAGGAACATCAATATCAGATGGCACCATCCATCATTGTTTGAGCCAAAGTGGACTTAAAGGGGAACGCCGTTTATTTTTTTACATTGGACCCTTGATTTTATGTTATTCCATCATGTTTGTCATGATGGGTTCACTGAAAGCGACCCAAGAATGCAGAACACCACTGACGGACACAAGGATGAAAGTTTAACAGTTTTATTAATGCACAAGCACACTGAATATACGGGTTTTGGTTCGGGGCCTGGATTCTGGTTCACCGGAGTCTGCGTGAGAGACAGTTCAGTTAGCGTTGCCAAAAGAGGTTTGATTTCCAGACGTTCACAGATTGTACCTTGAGGGTTCTTGAGGTTAGCTTTGGGAGAGTCACTGTTGGTTCTGGAGAAGAGTTCATCAGCAGAGTCCGTTAGCTGCTTCAGCGTCTCACGTCTAATTAGAACAGACCTTTGCTTTGGGTTTCCCAGCTCTAGTCCAGAGCTGCTTGGAGGTTCTCTGTGAATCTTCAGGTTTGGCTCAGAGGGTCGGCTCGGCAGGTTAGCTCTTCTAGAGCTTTCACAGAGGAGGCACAGGTTTCCTGGAAAACAGACACAGGGGTTAGAATCCTAGCTGGATTCAAAGTCATCGAATTACTCTGAGGATCTAGGCTTAAGCGCTGACCAACTGGAACAACACTGCGGCGTTGAGGCAAGGTCTGAAGACAGCTTAAGTAGTGGATCCTCTGATGATCTTGACGAGCTGCAGCTGCTTGACGAGCTGCAGCTGTGCAGGAGGCTCCCTCAGAGGATCCGCGGCGGACTCTGCTGGAGAAAGGTGGAATTTCTCCAGCTCCCAACAGTACCCCCCCCTCAACGACCGCCCCTTGGCGGTCCGGAAGAGGTTGATGGGCAGGAACGCTCGTACTCCTCGATAAGGGCCGGATCGAGGATGTATGAGCCTGGAACCCACTGGCGATCCTCCGGTCCGTAGCCCTCCCAGTCGACGAGGTACTGCCATCCGCGACCTCGTCGACGGGAGTCCACAATGCGACGAACCGTGAAGGCCGGATGTCCATCGACCTCCAGGGCGGGTGGTGGGGAGTCGGACGGTGGGCACAGAGGGCTCGAGGAGACAGGCTTGATCTGAGACACGTGGAAGGTGGGGTGGATCCGGAGGGACTGAGGTAATTGGAGACGGACGGCTGAAGGATTGATGACTCGGGTGATCCTGTAGGGTCCGATGAATCTAGGGGAGAGTTTTCGAGACATCCCCTTTGGACAGCCATACCTCCTGGCCTTCGGAGTACTCAGGGGCTGGGCGTCTCCTGGCGTCGGCGAAGCACTTAGTGGATTCTGTAAACTGGTTGAGAGTGGCGATGGTCTCCCTCCAGATCCTTTGGCAACAGCGGATGTGATGGTTGACGGACTGCACCGAAATCTCTCTCTCGTCTGCGGGAAAAAGAGGTGGTTGATAGCCGAGACTGACCTGAAAAGGGGATTGTCCAGTGGATGCAGATCTGAGGGAGTTATGGGCGTCTTCTATCCATGGAAGAAATTGGCTCCAGTCCACGGGGTTGTTCGACGTGAGGCAGCGAAGGGTGGATTCCACACTGCAAAAACAATCCAGAAATAAGTAAAAAATGGCTTAAATTAAGTATATTTAGCCTTAATTTGAGCAGGTAAATAAGATGATTTGCCAATGGAATGAGTATTTTCACTCTTAAAATAAGATAGTTAGATAATATTTACTTGAAATAAGACGATAAAATAGTTTTTTCTTATTTTAAAAGGAAATTGTCTTGTTCCATTGGCAAAGTGTCTTACTTACCTCCTCAAATCAAGGAAAAACACACTTATTTTAAGAAAAAATAACTTATTGAGATTTATATTTTTTGCAGTGCAATTGCTGATTCATACGCTCAGTCTGACCATTCGATTGGGGGTGGTAATGTCGGACTCCGTAATTTTCTCTGGTCCCCTCCCTGATCTGACCAGTGATGACATGTTTAGCCGCATGTCGTCATTCAACCGCTGGTTGTCTAGGTGGTGCCCTGAAAACAACATGGGCTACATTAATAATTGGCAATCCTTTTGGGGAAAGCCTGGTCTGATTCGGAGAGACGGCATCCATCCCACTTTGGATGGTGCAGCTCTTCTTTCTAGGAATCTGGCCACATTTATTAGTCCTCCAAAACCCTGACCACCCAGGGTGCAGACCAGGAAGCAGAGTTGTAGTTTAACACACATCTCTGCAGCTTCTCTACTGTTACCCACTCTTTACTCCATCCAGACAGTGTCTTGCCCACGACCAAAATCTAATAAATTAGCAAAGATTCCCAAAGGAGTAAATCATGATAATCTAATTAAAATCAAAATAACTCCAATTGGGGAAAAAGTTAAAACAATTAAATGCGGTCTGTTTAACATAAGATCGCTTTCCTCTAAAAGTCTACTAGTTAATGACTTGATTTGTGATAATCACATTGACTTGTTTTGCCTTACAGAAACCTGGCTGCAGCAAGAGGATTATGTGAGCATAAATGAGGCAACTCCTTCAAGCTATTTAAATTTTCATATCCCCAGAAGTTCTGGGCGAGGAGGAGG